TAGGCAAAGTAGATTATGTTCATTTGGACGGAATTCATTCAAAATGAGAAGGAATTAAACTTTCTCCAGTTTCCCTTTTTGATGAGGACAAGATTTGAGGGATTTGGGAAGCGCTACAACATCACATGACTACTCAAGAGCAGGTAGCAAGGTAAAAGGAAGAAGAAATAGATAAAAGGCCTGATCTTGTACAAGGCAGAGAGATGGGCAGACGATATGGCTCTCTGTGGCATGTGCATCCAATGGCCCTACAACAGTAAGAGAAAATGTACATAGTTTAAAAGAGGGTTAGGAAAAATAAAACTAAGACCAAAAAAATAAATAAAGCACTGGACCGAGATGAAGAACATGAATAATTTAAATGGAAAGAAAGCTAAAGTAATCGTGCAAGAATATGTTGCAAGTTAAAGGAGGGGAGTGGAAGGGAAAAAGAATATTCTGTCTGCCTGATTCATCGGTACACCAGGTGAGATATGGTGCCAGTTTTGAAGTTGAGCTGATGGTTGGGCACAAAGTTGTGCTGAGGATTCTTTCGCGTGCACATATCTTTTGCATACAAGCCCATGCACGAGTCACATGACACTTTCGAACAGTTCACACAGGTGTGTGATGCACCTGGCTTGTTGCAAAACCCGCATCGCGATCCCCCCATGCTTATTCGCTCACTGCTGCCTCCCTTTGGTGTTGTCAAGGCAACAGACTTGCTGGGAAACAGCTTAGTGGACATGAGGGGCTTCTCCACCATCTGAGGGTGAGGGTGGGGATGAGAATGTGAGTGGGTCAGTGTGAGGGGGTGTGGATGGAGATGGGAGTGAGTATGAGTATTAGAGTAGACAGAGAGCTTTTCCTTGACAGGAATGTATCCATCAAGAGGTCGTGGAGATTTTAGATGGTAGTCCTGCAGGCCACAGCAAGGGGAGGGGTCCACATCATGACAGGCAGAACAGAGGATCATGTCACACCTCTGGCAGGAGGCCATTGTGGTGCAGCCCAGCCCGCAACCCTGGCACTTCACACTACCATGACCTTTGTGCAGCCACCCATCCCTTCCATCTCGAGGCTCTCTGGATAGAGGTCGAGACGGGGTCTGCCTTCCTCCTGTGCCAGCCCCACCCCTCTCTGTGTACAAGTCAATCTCATCTAAAGAGGATGGATGGTAGGATGTGTAGGGATCCGCTGGGGGAGGTGACTGAATTGGGAAGAAATCTGCAACAGGGCTATAGGAAGGTGGAGCAACCACAGAGGAAAGAGATATTGAGGTGCTGGGCCTGATGATCTCATCTTTCATATCCTCCTCTGCATCCACAAATAGAGGCTCCTTCCTCAGACTCAGTGAAGCCTTCAAGACAGGCTTGCTAACCGCTGCATGCCAGTGACCAGCCCCATCTGTAACATCCACAGACTTAGATGGTCGGCTACCTCGCCTAAGGTGGTGGGCATGAGGCTTTTCTATATCCAATGGCCGCACGGACAGCCGAGCCATATCTGCCCCAAGGCTGTCACGTCTGCGGAGCGCTTCAGCACAGCCAGCTGCATCATCTCTGCAACCTCTGCGGAGCTCCAGGGCCTCCAGTTCTGACGCTGAACCACGGGCCAGAGCCACTACCTCTCCCAGAAGACGACACTCTGCCTGGGCCAGGAAGAGTTCAAATGCCAACTGCCGCAGATGATTTGCACCTCCTGGATGCTCCTGCAAATGGAACTGCGAATCATGGTCACAGGTGTAGCCAATGGTGCGCATTAAAGTTCGGAGTTCAGCATCAGAAATGGCAGACTGCAGATGGTACACATATGGGCCAGTGAAGGTCTTAAAGAGAGAAATGAGAATCAGCATAAGTGTCAGTTGTTTAAAACAGGCTGACATGAAGCCAAAAATAAAGACAAAAACATATAGAAATGCACATCTTTATATGAAAAAACAGATGATTAGCACAAATTACAACAACCTCAATGTAAAGCTGCAATGGCCACCTCTCTAATAACAAATACTTATTTTAGATATAGTTCTAGATAGAATTAGCTGATAGATTCAAGGGAAAAACAAACAAAGTGCTTTAGAAAACCACCAGAAGTGGGGACAACTATTTTTTTCCTTTTTGGGTGGCAGAAGGCTGTCTAACATGTACAGAAATTTCCCATAGACAATCAGTTAACTTGATATCTTGTGAGGGTGAACGCCATAAGATCATTCATAACGGTTTCGGCTCTGTGTGCAAGGACATTTCCCTCTCCTATTAGGTTAGAAATGTTTCACACCAAACAACTTCGTATTGAGTTGCAGTGCTTTCCCTCTAAGAAGACAAGTAGAGCTAAAGAATGCCAGCAACATAAATCCCCAAAGCAAAACAGAGGGGTCAAGAGTTACAGCTTTCCTTTTAATTTGTCACTTATTCACCGAGCAGAAGCAATCATAATAACAGGTCCTCTTTGCATGTGTGTTCACTAAAATTACATATCTATACAAATTTTAAAAGTTTCAGAAAAATGTTCTTACTTTTAGATATTAATTTACTAAAAAACATGTCAAGCAGTTTAGGAAACAGGGGATAACCACTCATGTACTTTCAGATATGCTGGTGGGATCAAACTTTTGTTTGTATACACACTTTATGATGTTAGGATTAGACAACAAGTAATTAAGGTACAACAACACAAATCTCTTAAGATTATGCAGATATCTGATATCTGCATAAAGCCTGAGAATGTGTACACAAACATAAAAGTTTCGCTTACATACTAAAGGTCAGGAAAGATATTCATATATATTGCCTGCAAAAGACAGTCTGAAAGATATGCAAATTCACAAAAGTATTTCGGTGTACACACACACTGCCCTGATTAATTGCCAAAGCTCAGTATCTCAAAGCTCAAGACTGGACAATAATGATTCATTCTGTTATAACAAGTGTATTAATAGTGACATTTTGGCTATTAGAGTAAACTAATCTAAGCAAAGTATATTAAATATCCCATCAATAAAATAAAGTCACCTTTATACATCTGAATTCCTTCTTCCAAGGGAAGAGCAGGAGGTTGGTGCAGATGGTTTCCAGGGTATGGAAGGCTCTCTCCAGGCCCTTCAGGTTAACTCCTCTCTGGGAGCGGAGGGAGTTCTCCACTACCTCATAGAAACGCACCATGCGAAATCGCTGTGCCGGATCTGGCTGATAGGCTCCTAGCAGAGCTGTGGCTGTGGAAAGTAAGGCCTCACTGTCCTTGTGTCTGCTTCTTTCCCCTTCTTGCGTACTTCCAGTCCCCCTGTTATCCCCTCCTTCCTCCAGGCGCTTCTCCAGTGCTGTCACATACCTCCGGAACAGGTCCTCTTTTAACTTGGCATCCATTATTAGCAGCAGACTATTAGTCAGCTGTTATACTTTTCTGAGAGAGCCTCACACCTTTTAGCATGCCCAACCACAAAATGCCACATTCAGACACCATTTTTGGTTACCATTTTTTAAACCGTATACACTAATTGTTAATGTTGCGGAGAGATGGCAGAGGAGTCAGTCTTTGCATCCACTCAGTAGCACATCCTCTAAGCAAGAGGTGCAGTTTTCTAGTGCTTTCAGTTGGTGTAGCAAGGCTGTAGCCCATAAGGATGCCTTGGTATGAGCATCTCTGGTTTTGGCTCAAAACCTGACTTGTTTCCCAAAAAACAGGCTTCTGTCATGCAAGATAACGTCAGGGGGAGGTTTTCCTTGGCACACAGACTTGCATCTATTCCATTGCTTGGTTTCAGCATTGGTAGAGTTCAAGGTCACTCATCAAGACGACAGATTCATGATCTTGGGGTTGTTGTCAGCCATGTCCAAGCTGAAATGACACAAGCAATATCTGTTAAGATAAAAATATCATTTTCGGTTCTAGCCAAATGAAAATGCAATTTAACTGTGGTTAAGCATGTTTTGAAATATCTTGAGGTTCAGATAAGAGGGAAGATACACTAATCCAGGACCATCTCTGTAGAGATGTGAAGATGGATTCGTTTGGGTGGGTGGGTAGATGGGTTTTTTGTCTGTCACATAGTAAAAGGGCTTTTTTTTATTTGTTTGTTTTACAATGTACATAACCAAGAAAAAGGCCAGTGGAATTATAGCTTAAATAAGCAAGAGAGGAACTCATTACTGATGTATACATCCCTCTCACACGTTTGCGCCAGTGTAAGCGTTTCAGCTATTGGTACTACATGCGTGTAAACCAGAGTGGCGCTAACCCTAGCCCTAGCTTAGCTTCAACTCAAAACTCACAAACACATCGTGAAAATAGTACGAGGCTTGAACAACAGGAGAGCAAACATTTTGCTCTCAGATTCTTGCAAGCTGGCTGGCTATACCTGTTACCTGAAAATCTCTGCGAACATCCGCTCAACGAGCTAGCAACCAATGAGCCTTAGCCAGACTCATGCTTTACAACTGCGTATCTACTACAACAAATTTAGTCCACCGTGACCAATGGCAATATAAAGTAATACTCTTAGAGCGTATACATTAATTCTCCATGAATCTCAAACCCGATGCTGCCACTGCTATGGCCCCCCTACTGAATATAAGCTAAACAGTGAACGCCCATTTCAGCGTAGCTGGTTAGCTAACAATTGCTTTCGGCTAGCAGGGCGTTCCATCGCTACACAGACATTATTCGCCAGTTTAAAATAAAATATCAAGACACAGCGAGTTTTTAAGGTGACCTTCTTTTGGGACCAAGCGTTAATGCGCTCCCACTAGGGGATCAAGACGTTTTTTTCAAACAGAAATACCACCATTCGCCAATCTTACCTTTAACAAGTGCTAATCATGGCTAGCTACGCCTCCTCAGCTGTTGGAAATTCCCAGTATAACAACACGCATGCGCTCAATCCTGACAGTTCATCAGCATCAGGAGCCCACGTGCTAGGGAAGACGGGATACAGACCCCCAACTACATCATCCACAGTCTTCATTCATTTTTGTTTTTGTTTTGCTTGGGGGAAAAAAATATAGGCTCGCGTGCGCGCAGAGACAGATTTCCCGGGTTCATAATGATTTGCCGAAGGTATGCATTTAGTGGTGTGGATTTCCTGCTTTTTCGTTGTATTAGTGCCTGAATAATTTTGATTTATTTGTATAACTATATATTGTAATATTTTCAATGTCTCTGGGGGGTTTCAAAATCTAGTGGGAGGGGTGTGTCACAAATTTAGTAAATATGTCGTACAATTATGTGTTACGATGTTTACTTTCGCCGGTAACCCCGCCCCCTCGCGCTTAAAAAAGAACAAGAACCCAATGACGTCGTCACGGGGACGGTTGGTGCTGGTGGTTGAACCGACTCAGTGAAGAAAAGAAATGGCGATGCTCGGAGGCTTTAGCGCAGCACCTCACAAGAAGAACGCCTCGGACGGGAGCAACGACGTGTCCGAATTCGTCTGTCCAGTTTGCCTCGAAATATTCGACAGTCCCGTGACAACACAGTGTGGACATACGTGAGTATTTTTGCCGTTTATTTTCGGTCGCCCTCCCCCTAACCCGCGTCTGCCACCAACGATGCAGTGAAAAGAGGCAAAAACAATGGAGGAAAGGGCTTCACTTTAAATGTGTCGTCACACCAGAGTTGCAAAATATCGGCCTCGCGAGTGTCTTCTCGTGCTACGACCCCGTTTTTTCTGTTTTTCTCTCTCGAATATGTGACAAAAACAGTTCCAGCTTGCTAAATCAGTTTCAGTTTTGTTTACATCAAAAAGGAGGCCTCACTTGGGAGTTGTAGTTTGGATGTGTATTGCTCTAACTCTTGAAACCACTTTAAAGAACTACAAGTCCCTGGCTATTCTCGAGGTGGGGGGACTTTCCATATGAGTTACAGGAAGGTCCAGTCACTAGCATAATAAAGGCTTGCTTTAGTGAGAGTATTTGTTTTTTGTTTTTTCTCATGGCAGGCCATTCGTTAATGCATACAGAGTTGTTGCATGTTTTTGTTTTGTTTTGCTTGTTTGCTTGTGAT